ATATATATATAAAGTGAGCAGCCTTGCCCTCAGGGGCAAAGTCTTTGAAGCACCTTCTTCCCTTCTACTCTTAAGCGCTGAGTGGGTTTAATTGCCCAGAGAGAGCTCTGCCTTCCCCAAAGGTCACACAGTGAGGAAGGGTGATGGATAGAGGAAGGAGACCTAGATGGGCAGGCAGCCCCGCACCGTCTCCTTGGAGTCCTGGGGAGCCCGGGCCTCGGCTGCATGGGAGAACTGAAAGGAAAGGAGAGGGGGTGGTCGGGCCCCTGTGGCAGCAGGACAGACGGCCGAGCGAAGATGGTGCAGCAAGCAGGGAGGCGGGTCCCCAGCCCCGGCACCCCCGACTGCAGGCAGAGTCAAGCAGAGGTGGCATGCTTTGCAGAGCCTGCCCAGCAGGTGCCCCGCGGCGCCCCCCCCAAGTCCTCCTGAACCATCAGAGGCTGGTGTCTCGGTGGCGGCGGCCGTGTGTGCGCGAGCGCCGGGCAGTCCTGGGCAGTGGTGGCGGCTGCAGCAGGCACCAGCGTTCAGATGAGCCGCTCCTCGGGCGGCAGCTTGAGGTCAGGGGGCGGTGGCACGCGGGCACCCACCTGCTCCTCGCTGCTGGGCCGGTAGGTGCCCTCTGTCTGCCGTTTCTCCCGCAGTTTCCGCACCAGCAGGAACAGCCCCACGACCAGGAGTAGGGCAGCCAGGAGGGAGAAGACCACGATGATAGCAGTGAGGGCCCCCTGAGACTGTGGGAGAGGGGACAGGTGTGACCCACCCGAGCCTGGGGATGCTGTCCACCCGCACCTGAGAAGCATCTGGGACTCCTCATCTTCCCAACACCTGCCACTTTTGGTGATCTGGTTCCTCCATCCAGAATCCCTGATCCCCATCTACCAGATCTGGGGCTCCCAGGCTCCCCCATCTGCCATGTCTGGGATCTCCCTTCTGAAGCACCTGCCACATCCGGACTTCTAGCTCCCCCCTCCTCCCTTGCCTGAGAGGCATGTGGGGCTCCTGACGCCCTACACTTACCACGTATGGTAGTCTTCTCCACCTCCTTCCTGGGGTTCTTGGTCTCCCTAGTCTGGGGCCCTGGGTCTCCCCATTCGTCATGTCGGTATTCTGGTCTCTCCCACTTGGGGTTCGCCAATGCCTCCCCCCCGCCCTGAGACCTGCCACCTCTGGGAGTCTAGGCCCCTCCTCCTGCAACATGTGGGACTCCTGAATAACATCCCTGCTGCCCCCCTCCCACATATACCCCCAACTCACCAGGGCCCCATTGGAGCCAGAGCCAGGGTCCGGGGTCGTAATGGTGCTGTTCTTATCTGCAGGGGTGGTTGGTGCTGTGGGGAGGGGGATTAGAAAGGATAAATGAAGCCCTTTCTATTCCTATCTCAGCGCATCTGCACCATCCTTAGGCATCCCCCCACCCTCCCCATCAGAACTCTGCTCTTGAGTGTTGCATTGTCGTAGAGACTGTCGTAGAGGCCCCACACACAGGGGCCGGCTCAGCTGTTTTGGCTTCTCTGGCCACCCCCTAGTCCAGCAGAGTCCAGCAGCGAGTAATCAGCCAACAGGGGTTTGCAGTTCGGGCTGAGTTGGGGGCTATTAAAATGGATGGTGTCCGGAAGCCCAACACTCCCCCTCCCCCCCACCACTTCTCAGGCTCTCCCTTGGCCCTTAAGGATCAGGGCGGATCCTGCATTTCCCTGGAGTGTCTGACTCACACCTCCCCCCAGGCTCCCGAAACTGGAAGAGGACTGAATGGCTGGGTGCACACTGGGCTGGCAGCCCCAGGCAGGCCTCCTCCTGGATCCCAGTCAGCCAAAACACTCAACCAGACTGAGACTCAGGTAGGCAGGCCTCCACGCCCCCCAGCTCACAATTCCGTCCCCCTCAGGAACTCAGGAATTCTCCTAAACCAGCTCTGACCGTCCAAGGAAGGACTCAGAAATTCTAAGCCCCAAGTCCTGCCCCTGTAGACTCCTGCCCCCAAGGCATCCCATGCCCACTGCCCATTTCTTGACCTCTGTGTCCCTGTACCCAGCGCCGGTACCTACTTTGCCCCCAGGCCCGGCCCCAGCGGGCCGGCAGCAGCGGCAGGCCGAGAGCCAGGAACAGCCCCAGGCCGGGGCTCGCCATGGGCCGGGCGACGGGCAGGTGGCACCGGGGACCGGGCTTCTCGCGCGCGCCGCCCCTACCGCATCTCGGGCCGGGGGTACCTGAGACCAGGCACCTGGTGGGCAGGAGACGGAGAAAGGCTGGGCGTGGGGGACGGGGCTGGACCCAGGCGCAGGCCCCGGGGAGGGGCGCCCGCGCCGGGCACCCTGGAGTCCCGCCCCGCCCCCGCGGCCAGAGGTCAGAGATTAAAGATTAACCTGGGGCGGCGCGTTTCTGGACGGGGGAAAGGGGAGGGGAGGAGGCGGCAGGCCACGCCGCGCGTCCTGCCACCCTACCTGGCCCGGGCGTCTTGGATCTCGCCCAGGTTCCCGATGCGGGTCCCTCGCTCGAACCCTCGGTGCCTCCGTCGGTCGCTCGATCGGGCTTCTCCAGCTCCGCCCGCTCACGTGACCCGGAAAGTTTAGTCACTCACCTGGGAGGGGAGCGCACTTCCGGCTGGTGCACCTGAGCCCAGACGAGAGGGCGGAGCCAAGCGGGGGGCGGGGCCGCGCCGCGGGCGCACCTGTAACGGGAACCCAATCCTAGAAGGGGGAGGGGTCAAAAGGGGCGGAGGCGCGCAGGTGTCAGAGGGCCCTCCTACCTGTATTGCGGGCACACCTGTAGGATCACACAGGTGTGGAGACACTGGGCACGGAGATATCGGTGTATGAGGCATTCCTGTGTGAGCAGACTCAGATGGGGAGCCTCTGATGAAAAAACACCTGTGTGGCACACACCTGCATGGGAGCAAACCTGTATAGAAGACATCGGCATTGAACCACATCTATGTGGAGTGTAGCTGAATGGAAGCACACCTGTGTGGAAAACGGCTGTAGAGAACACACCTGTATTATAACAAACACCTGACTGAGGCTCTCTGTTGTAGGGTACAGCTATTCTGGAAATATAGCTGCATTTCCACTTATGAAATGAACAACACTTGTATGAGGAATTCCCGTGCAGAAAGGTATTGGAAATACCTGTATGAGACACACCTGCATTTAAGTACACCTATATGAGACCCATTATATGGAAACACACCCATATGGGTATAGACTTAACCGGAACACACCCGTGGAGGGGCTGTATAACGCATTCCTGGGTCGAGGGACATCTGTTGAGAAACATACCTGTGAGATGAGAGAAACAGCCTTGTCTGAGGAACATCTGCATAGAATTGAGCTCAAATGAGAGGAAGAGCTGAGAACCTCTGCCTGAGGCACGCTCACATGGAAGTACATCTGGGGGGGTGGCGGCAGGACAGATGCTCATGTGTATAGAGGCCCACCTGTCAGGGGTGTATTTGTGAGAAAATACCTGTTTGGGGCATGTCCTTGGGAAAATATCGGTATCCTCCATGGTGTAGGGCACCTGCAAGAATCACCTGTGAATGAAAACATCTGTGAGGGGATAAAAGGCTCGATTGTCTGGGACGCACCTGTCTGGGCAGAAGCTGAGTGGGAACCAAATGTGCCCTCGCAGCTGTGTCTTTGGATAAAAGACAGTGATAATAAGATGCCCCCCTCCCGGGTGCTCTAGGCTGAAGAGTCATGGTTAAGAGAAAATCAGTCCCTTCTAGGGTATAGAGCGATGGGTAAAAATCCCAGGTCTGGTTAAATCCCGGCTTTGCCCCTACCTGGGCACGTGGCCTGGGTAGAGCGGCTTAACCTCCTGTGTCCTCATCTGTGAAGCGGGAAAGCCAGTCCCACCGACCTTATAGGGTTTTGGCGAGGACGACGCGAGAGGCGAGTAAAAAGCCTGGCATGTGCAATGCACTGAATTAATGTTAGCTGTTCTTTATTATTATTCCTGTCGAGTGGTCTGGGCGCCCCTCCCCCTAATGGTGAATCGAGAAACTGCGCCCGACACTAGCGGGAGGGACTTTAGGCAGGTGCAGGGAGCGTGACAAACTGGGGCCCCGCCTCCAGCGCTCAGCCGCTCAGTCCTCATGCCCACCCGCGCCTGGGACACTGAGACCCTCCAGGTCGGTCCGGAGAGAGCTGTCAGCGGGGCATCTGGATCCGGCCGCGGCCCCTTTAAGGCTGCGGGCAGAGCCGCGGGTCGCAGGGCCCAAAGCAGCCCAGGGTCAGTGGGGAGGCCCCGCCCAGGTGGGTGGGCGAGGCGGGGCGGGCGGGCGCAGCTCTCGCGGCTCTGGCCAATAGGAAGCCGACTTTGCAGCCGCGCCGCGCGTTGATCTTCCGTTTCCCTGTCTGAGAGGGACCGAGAAAGGAGGCGCGCGGGCGGGATGAAGGCCCAGAGGGAGAGCACCGCGTCTTGATCTTCTGTTTCTGTGGCCGAGCGGGGAATGTGAACTGACCGGGCGGGCAGATGGAGGGCTAGATGGCGCAGAGTTGCTTCTTGAGAATGTCTGGGAAAAGCGAGAACTTTCGTTCCTGAAGAGGATTAGTAGCGGAGGGAGGTTAAGTGGAAAGGGATTACGTAATGCAATCCCTGACATCTCCCTACTTCGCCCCTTTGGGCAGAGGGTAAACTGAGGCACGCAGAGACGAAACTCTGAAACCAGAATTGAGACCACTGATCTCTCTAGTGCCTCTTCCCGGAACGAATCCTGGGGCTCCCTAGGCTATGCAATAAGGGAGCATCCCTGACATCTCTCCGCACACCCTCCCCAGCTCCGCTCCCCCCCCAACGCGGGTCGGGGGAGGAGACGCAAGTTCTGGCGCGGGCGACGACGGCTAGCAGTCACCGCCTCCTACAAGTGCCAGAGCCAGGCGGACGGCGCGGAGGCTGCGGTGGCAGCGGCCCCTGAGCTGGCCCTGCGGGGCCCCGGGGGGAGGGGGAGCCGCTAAGCCCCCGCTGAGGCCGCCCCTGCCGGGCCTCCCCTCCCCCCCGGGCGGGCGCCATGCGGGGGGGCCCGGGTGACGCGGAGCGGCGGCAGCGCTGGAGTCGCCTCTTCGAGGAGCTGGACCGTAACAAGGATGGCCGCGTGGATGTGCACGAGTTGCGCCAGGGCCTGGCCCGGCTGGGCGCGGGCGACCCGGACCGCGGCGCCCAACAGGTACCCCCGCCGGGACCCCCGCGTTCGGGCTCTGCGCGCAGCGGGCACCCCGAGCCCCTGAATGGAGCGCCGGGAGCCGCCAGGGACTGCCTGTGGCTGGACTCCGGGAGCTGTGCCCAGCCTGGGCGTCTCTGTCCCCTTCCCCCTGCCCACCCGTGTCTGGGCCTAACGGGCTCGCTCAGAACAGGGCCACCGAGTCCCCAGGCCTGCAGGTCGCATGCCAACACCCAGTCCCCTCCTTCCCCAGCGGTGGGGGATGTCTGCCAGGGAATGGAGCTGGTCAGCTCTTCTGCCCACTGCCCTGGACACACCCTCCTCTGAACTCTTTGCACAGCCTATGACATGCCCTGCTCCCGCCTCCAGGAGACAAACCCTCCCCTCTCTCCTCCCCGTCTTCTGGGTACCTACTGCCCTCCCAGCCAGCTACCCAGCCTCTGTGTTTGCATTCCCTCTGCTGCCCCTTCCTGGGCCTGGCTCAATGCCCCAGGCTGCCCCATCCAGGGACCCAATCCTGCCTGAGGCCACATTCAGCTAGGGGTATACCTATGAAGCAGGAACTTGACCCCAAGCCCGGGGCCCCCACACCTGTAGCCTCAGATGCCCCTGGAGTGTCACCGCAGCATCCTGAGGCCTCCAGTCCGACCTCCCACATTCCAGATGGGAAAACAGAGACCTCGAGGCTGCTCTGCTCGGATCTGTCATTACCCCACATCGCCCAGAGCTGTCTCTAATGGGAGCTCCTGAAACTGCCTTGGGGACAGGTTTTTATAAGAGGCAGCTGGAAGGACAGGCTTTCAGAGACAAGATCCCAAGGCTGCGACCTACTGCTTCCCAGCTCTGTAACCTTGAACAAGTGACTTAACCTTGCAGAGCCTCGGTTTGCTCGCCAGGAAAACAGGATCACCACTATCCGCCTCACAGACCTACCATGGCCTTGGGCATCTTGCTGCAAAGCGAGCTGATGGAGGGAGGGGGTTCCTTTGCTGCCCCTGCCCTCTAGGCTCTGGGGGCCCTGGGTTCCTGGGGCATAAGCTCATTGTGCCCCTTCCAGATCGGGGACCAGCCTCCAGGAGCTCCCTCTGACCCTTCCCCCCTGCCAGGGCATGTCCTGTGAGGGTGACACTGACCCAGATGGTGGTCTTGACCTGGAGGAGTTTACCCGCTACCTGCAGGAGCGAGAGCAGCGTCTGTTGCTTCTGTTCCGCAGTCTGGACCGGAATCAGGACGGTAAGTCCCGGGGATGGGGCTGCTGGGGCCCCGGAGACGCCAATGGCGTTAGAATTGGCAGAGCTAGGAGGAGGGGGGAGGGCTGCATCTCCCTGATGACTCACAGGCTATTTTGGGAGCTCGCCTCACCCCCAGCTAGGTAGTTCGGGGCCCAGCCAGCCCATCCCGCCTCCTTTCCCTTCTGGGTGGGACCCCTATTATTATCATTATTTTTCTAATTGACCAAGATCCCCCCTATTGCTCCCAATAAGACAGAGACACCCCTCATAGCTTCTTCTGGGTCCCCAATATTGCCTCGTGATCCCCTATGGCATGGGGACCCCCATAAGTATTACTGGATTCATTCATTCATGGAACAAAGGAGCCCCCAACATTGCCCAAGTCTACCTCTCTGATCCCAATGGATCAGGGACCACCCCCCCCAACCTTGCTGCAAACCTCACCCTGGATTTCTGGATGCCGGTAGACCCTTCTCATCTCCAGGGTCCCCACACACACACCCTTCCCACCTCGGGTCCCCTCCCCAGGTCATATCGATGTCTCTGAGATCCAGCAGAGTTTCCGGGCTCTGGGCATTTCCATCTCCCTGGAGCAGGCGGAGAAAATTCTGCACAGGTGAGTAGCTGGAAGTCCCAAATTTCGGGACCCCTCAGCCACCTTGAGCCTCTGGACCCCAGATCCAGCCCAGGGGAAGTTGGGCTTCAGAGCCAGGAAGATCTTGAGCCAGTCTCTCGCCTCTCTGAGCCTCAGTGTCCCCCTCTGTAAAATGGCAAGCTCTCAGTGCAGAGGAGCTCAGTCTACCCCCAAAACCGACCAGAACCTCACTCCAACCCACCCCGAGCCCCAGGCACTGACTCTGTCCCGACCCCCCTAGTATGGACCGTGATGGCACCATGACCATTGACTGGCAAGAATGGCGAGACCACTTCCTGTTGCATTCGCTGGAAAATGTGGAAGACGTGCTCTATTTCTGGAAGCATTCCACGGTGAGGTGGGGGTGGCTTTCTTCCCCTGGGGGCCGGGTCCCATTCCCCCCCCCCCGGGGGGCCTTGCTCTGGTCTCCCCAGGGCATGGAGGGGCTGGGTCAGGACTCTAGGAGGAGGAGCCCCTGGGAGCAGCTGGGGGATGAGGCTCTGCACCTCTCTTCCTCCATCTGGGGCTCAGGGGACTCACTTGGGCAGGTCTCTGCTCTGGGTTGGAGCCCTTCAGACTTAGTGTGGGGCGTCTGGGGACAGGCTGTGGGACATCTGGCTTCTCACTCTCAACCCACGCAGCTCCCCTTCTGCTGTTTTCTATATGCCTCAGCAAAGGATTCTGGGGCTGCAAAGACAAGTTAGAAAGCCACTGTCTTCAGAGGGTCCCATGGGATCCACCAGAAGCTGTGGGGAGGAGGTGTCTAGATTGCCATTTCCTGGGTGGGAATCCCTGAGTGATGCTTGTGGCAGGATCTGATGGTTTCTGGAGAGGATCCATCTGTGGGATCTGGTGAGATCCTCTTGGGAGATCCAGCGATTCCCACCCTGGGGAACCTGTGAGGTTGGTTGGGAAGTCTATAAGTGGACTCTGGAGGGGGGGGGTTGATCTCTGTGCAGGAGATCCCTATGGGATCTGGTGAGACCCCAAGAGGGATCTGCTGAGCTCCTCAGATGGGAGGTCCCTGGGAGGATCTTATGTGGCCCTGGAGGAATCTTCTGGAATCATTATGTGGGAGACCCTTGAGTCTCAGAGGATCTGGATCATTCAGAGGGATCTGATTGGCTCTTTATGGGGCAGAGGCTTGGGGAGGATCCTTTGACGGGATTTGGTGGCGGTCCCCAGGAGGGATGTTGGGATCTCATGTGGGAGACTGCCAGGTTGGATGTTTTGGTGGGATCCAGTAAGGGTCCAAGAGGGATCTCCCGGGATCTCCAAGCGAGATTCGTTGGTGGACTCTCCCAGGGTCCTGGGATTAATGAGGGAGATGCCCCCTTTTAGGGCTGAGTGACACCCCAGCCTTTGCGTCCTCAGGTCCTGGACATTGGCGAGTGCCTGACTGTCCCCGACGAGTTCTCGGAGCAGGAGAAGCTGAGCGGCATGTGGTGGAAGCAGCTGGTGGCGGGCGCGGTGGCGGGTGCCGTGTCTAGGACAGGCACAGCCCCTCTGGACCGCCTCAAGGTCTTCATGCAGGTGAGGGGCCCTGGAGGGACCCACTGCCTCCCCCGGGCCTGGGCCTCGGGAGGGGACCCCAAAGCCGCCTTGTCTCCCCGCCCAGGTCCACGCCTCCAAGACCAACCGGCTGAATATCTTGGGGGGCCTACGGAGCATGATCCGAGAGGGGGGCGTGCGCGCCCTGTGGCGTGGCAACGGCATCAACGTGCTCAAGATTGCCCCCGAGTCGGCTATCAAGTTCATGGCCTACGAGCAGGTGGGGGCAGGCATGGGGAGGCTCGGGCTGGACAGGAGGATTTGCAGGATTGGCTTGGGGGCGGGGAGTGTCTGCAGGTCCCCAGGAGTGGGCATCTGCTCCCCTGCATGATGCCCGCAGCAGGAGGACAGTAGAGGGGAGGTCCGAGTGCACGGAAGGCTCAACCCTGAGGTCCTGCCCACCTGTGTCTCTGACCCTCAGATCAAGCGGGCCATCCGAGGACAGCAGGAGACGCTGCACGTGCAGGAGCGCTTTGTGGCTGGCTCCCTGGCTGGCGCCACGGCCCAAACCATCATTTACCCCATGGAGGTGAGAAGGAGGGACCCTGGAGGAGGCCCCATTGCAGAGTGGGGGGCCTGCAGTAACCATTTCACTCCATGGTGTGTTAAGCTTTGGGGTTATAAATTTGCCTCTTCCTGATCTGGACCGCAGCTCCTTAGAGCAATGCTGTTTCATGTGTAGGCTGTCTGGGTATCACAATTTGAGATGTGACTTCTGGGGACGGTGGTGTTGGTTATGACTGTTTAGACAGCAGTTGTGGGGGCCAGTCGTTTATGGATAGACCTCTTCTAAGGATGCTTGTTTCCAGGGGAACCATTTCTAGGTGAAACTGTTTCAGAGAAACCATTTCATGGTGGCTTCAAAGTGTTAGAGACCCAGGTTCCTTCCCTCTATCTTGTTGTTCCGCCACCTTAGCACGTAGCATCCACCTCATGGACCAAAATGGCTGCTTGGGCTCCAGTCATCACAGCCACATTCCAGCCAAGAAGGAAGAATAGTCAGAGGAAAGAACACCTCCCTGCCTTTAAGGATGCATTTTGAAAGTCACACATACCTCTTCTCCTTTTGTTTGATTGGCTAGGACTTAGTCACATGGCCACACACCTAGGGAAACTGAGAAATGCAGTCTTTATTTCTAGAGGCTGTGTGCTTGCTGAAAATTACAGTTTCTATTATTAAGAGAGAAGGGACCAAGATACTGGGAGACAGCAGTGGCTGCGACATGCAACTCTAAGAGGTGTAACCATTTCTAAGTATAGAACTTAGGGATAGCAGAAGATTCTAGAGAAAGTGGGATTTTTTTAATTTAGTTATTCTCAGGGTATCTCCTTCTAGGAGTAGCTATTTCTAGGTGTCTTCCTTCCTGGATGTAGTGATTCTAGAGGCAGCTTTTCCAAGGATAACTGGATTTCCCCAGGTGCTGAAGACACGGCTGACCCTTCGCCGGACGGGCCAGTACAAGGGGCTTTGGGACTGTGCGCGGCGGATCTTGGAGCAAGAAGGGCCCCGTGCCTTCTACCGTGGCTACCTGCCCAATGTGCTGGGCATCATCCCCTACGCGGGCATCGACCTGGCCGTCTATGAGGTCTGTGGGCAGCCCGCCCCTCCCTCCCTTCTTCCCCACTCTGGGATCTGCCCACAGGATATCCCTTTCTTGTGCGGCTGCCTCGATCTACCTCCAGAGCTAGGGGAGACAGTCCTGGGGCCCAGAAGCACCGTGGGTTTGGGGATCCTGAGGAACCACTTCAGGCATTGGACCCCCCCCCCCACTCCTTCACTTACCACTACAAGAACCTTCCATTTGCAGCTCAGCCTTCCAGGGTCTCAGGACACGGGAAAGTTGGGGACCACTCTAGCTCACAGAATCATTGGAGCAAGCAAAGATGAGCTTCAAAGATGCCCATCTCCCCCACAGCGCGTACGGGACCCAGCCTCTCTCTCCAGGCTGCTGTCATCTTCAGGGCCTGCCCATTTCAGTGTCATGGTAAAAACCACACCTCGTGACGGAATCTTAGGGCCTTTATCAGGAGAGCAGGAGTTGGGACTTTTGCTGTTTCTCTTCTGGCGGCTTCATTCATTGCTTTTACCTTCTCCTGGTGGGACCACCAGATGCTCCCAATTCGCACAGCCCCAGACGTCCCCTGGCATCCCCCAAAATCTTTGCATCCAGGACAGGGCTGGCTTCATGGGCAGCCAAGGGCCCCGCAGTCAGAAGGGGCTAGCTCTCATTTTTTTTTCCCCCCAAAGCCCCAGTAGATAGTTGTATGTCATAGCTGCACATCCTTCTAGTTGCTGTATGTGGGACACAGCCTCAGCTTGGCCGGAGAAGCAGTGCGTCCGTGCACACCCGGGATCCGAACCCCGGGCCGCCAGCAGCGGAGCGCGCGCACTTAACCGCTAAGCCACAGGGCCGGCCCCAGCTCTCGGTTTAATGCTCTGCTGTCGCCGTCTTGAGATTCCTAGTAAGCTTTGAACAAAGGACCTCACATATTTTTATTTTGCGCTGGGCCCTGCAAATTTTGTAGCTGGTCCTGATCTAAAAGACTCCATATCTGCCATCCATACTGGCCCTCCCCAGCACCCAGCATCTATGCAGCCACTGAGACAAGGCCTTCACTCATTCATTCATTTGATCATTCGTTCATTGACTTGATCACTTAGCAACGATTTACTAAGCATCCGTATGTGCCGGGCCCCGCGCTGATGTCTCCAGGTACGGCATTCAGTGTGAACATCACAATTCATGCCTTCCTGGGGCATCCACTCCCGTGAACAAGGAGGCCAGGCAAACAGCAAATAAGTATTTTCAGGTCCTGATAAGTGCTCAGAAGGTAATAAAACAGTATGTGTCATCGAAAGTAACAGTGGGCGGAGGGGGGTGTGGGAACTCCTTTGAGAGGTGACGTCTGTGCGATGAGCTGAGCATGTATGAGGAGGGAGTGTGAACAAGGCGGGGGGCACAGTGTGTGCAAAGGGCCAGAAGCAGGAGCGAATTTGACCCGTTGGAGGAGTGGAAGTCTTGAGTTTTTTCTAGGGGTGATTGAAGAGTTAGCAAGGACTCAATAATGAGGAGTTTGGGTTTATCCTTAAGGCAATAGGCGGACTTGAGGGTCATGAGCAGAAATAAGACGCAACCTTATTTAATCTATTCTTTACCAAAAAAGGGAGTTCGGAGGTCTAACAAGTTTGAGGAGCCCTGTGCCCTCTTGGAGTTTCAAAATCTATGTTAGTCCCTTAAAGCCTCTGAGAAGTCCCACAGAAAAGTGATTTAACTTTTTTTTTTTAGCCCAGTGTGGGCTGTACTTATCCAGTCATCAGAACTCTTTTCAACAGAACAGCTCTTAAAAACTCATTAAACACCTGTTAGGCAAGTGTTGCTCCAGACCCCAAAGAAGGCTATTTAAAATTGCAAAGGCAATAATGGTAAAAACACTTACTTCTCATTTGCCCATTGTGTGCCTGGGCCAGACATCACTAATCCATCACTGCACAGAGTCCCTCTCAGCAGTTCCAGGCAGCCATTACCAATGGATTAGAATTGACATAGGAGATGAAACCTATGAGCCACCCCAGGCCTAAAGCCAAAAAGAAGGTTCTGTCTTTACAAAGGCCTTGCAGAAGGCTGCCCTAAAGACCAGAGGCACGGCTCTGGACTCAGGTGTGGCTCTGACTGTTGATTTGCACCCTTATTTTGTGGCTTTGGGTGGTAACTTCCCTGCAGCCTCGTTTCTCATCAACAAGTGGGGATTATAATAGTAATTGTCTTAGTTTGGGGTCTTCTAGAAGTAGGGATGTGAGGGCAAGTGGCTTTTTGGGGAGGTAGTGAGACAGGGAAGGGAAGGTAATGAAAACGGGGAGTATGTATTAGTCCCCTAAGGCTGCCATAACAAAGTACCACAAACTGGGTGGCTTCAAACAACAGAAATTTATTGTCACAGTTTTGGAGGCCAGAGTCCAAAATCAGGGTGTCGGCAGGGCCATGCTCCCTCTGAAACCTGTAGGAGAGGATCCTTCCTTGCCTCTCTCCCAGCTTCTGGTGGTTGCTGGCGATCCTTGGCATTCCTTGGCTTATAGACCCATCCCTCCAGTCTCTGCCTCCGCCGCCACATGGCTGTCATCTCACTGTGTGTCTCTGTCTCTATTTCTCTCCTCCTCATCTTATAAGGACACCAGTCATTCAATTAAGGCCCCACCCCACTCCAGTATGACATCATCTTAACTTGTTACATCTGCAAAGACCCTCTTTCCCAATAAGGTCACAATCTGAGGTCCTGGGGTTAGGACTCCAACATCTCTTTTCGAGGGGATGCAATTGAACAGATAATGGTGTGTCATGAAGCAAGTTACCAGGGTAGGCAGGTGGAACTGAATTCTGATGGAGAACCCTGGGAGGCAGCATAGAGCATGCTCCCCCAGAAAGGCTAGGGAGCTGGGGTATTGATACACCAGATCAGTCATTCAAAGGTTGCATTTGGGGGTGCTAATTCCTCAGCACTTCTTGCCTATTCCTTTGTGCTCAAAGCAGCCTCGCCTGGGAGCAGAGAAACTCCTCAGGCAGAGCTGTGGATGCTGGCAGTTGGAAATGGGCAGATATGAGCTGAAATGGTAAGGGATAAGGGTGGGGCGCCCACCTTGGAGAGTGTATGAGTCCCCTGTGGCTGCTGTAACAAAGAGCCACGAACTTAGTGGCTTATATCAGCACAAATGTATTATCTTATAGTTATGAAGGTCAGAAGTCCGAAACGGGTCTTACTGGGCTAAAATCAAGGTGTCAGCAGGGCCGCATTCCTTCTAGAAGCTCTAGGGAAGAATCTGTGTCCTGCCTTTTCCAGTTTCCAGTGGCTGCCTGCGTTCCTCGGCCCCTGGGCCCTTTCTCCATCTTCCAAGCCAGCAGCCTGGCATCTCCCAACCTCTTCCTTTCTCTCTGGCCTCTGCCTCCATCATCGCGTCTCCTTCTCTGACTCTTATAAGGAGCCTTGTGGTGACATTAGACCAATGGATACTCTGGATATTCGAGGATCATCTCCCATCACAAAGTCCTTACCTTAATCCCATCTGCAAAATCCCTTTTGCCACGTAAGGTACCATATTCACAGGTTCCAGGGACTGGGGCGTGGACAGTATGGGGCCATCATTCCATGTACCATAGAGGGTCGAGATGAAGACCGAGCGAGAGGATGCTGGTAAAGTGTTTGCACGGCACCTAGGAGGTATTGAGTGCTCAGCTGGTACCAGCCGTCAGGGGATACAGAAGCCAGCCAGCGGGGCCTCTGAAGCCAGGGTCCTGGTGTCACCCTCCTCCAACCCACCCTCCTTCCTTCTTCACCCCTGCCAGACCCTGAAAAACCGGTGGCTCCAGCAGAATAGCCACGACTCGGCAGACCCGGGCATCGTCGTGCTCCTGGCCTGCGGTACCATCTCCAGCACCTGTGGCCAGATAGCCAGTTACCCGCTGGCCCTGGTCCGGACCCGCATGCAGGCCCAAGGTGAGGCCTGGGTGGGAGGATGGGGCAGGGAAGGTCTCACGACTTGGGCCCCCCCCCCTTGCCCAGCTCCTCCTCCCAGGTAGGCAGAGTCCTGGGCTGGTATCCTCCTGGATTTGGATGGCCTTGACTAAAGTCCCTACCTTTCTCTGGGCCTCAGTTTACCCATTTGTGACATTAGAATGGGAGCCCTTGACCGTAACTAGGAGGACAGATGCTGCGGGTGCTGGCAGAGCGCCCTAGCGATCTTAGCTGGGAGGCTGCTATTGGCTAGCATCTCCGGGCTGGTAACTTGAGGTCTAATCTGCAAGGCTGGGTTATCGTGAAGGGAAGGCCAGGAACCAGGTAAGGAGGGGCAGGGCCAGGCGGGTTATTGTTGTATCATTTTTCTCTGTCTTTTTCTTTTATGGGTTCTTCCTCACCCCTCCAACTACCCCTGAATCTGTTTTGAGAATTTCCTTGGGAATATTAGTATTTGTGTTTCGTGATTTTTGCTGGGCGGTATCGGTGCACAAGACTGGGTCCCTCACCCTCAAGGAGCTCACAGGCTGGGGATGAAGATGCTGAATAAATCATTCCACAATTAAATATGGATTTAGGGTTGAATAAAGGGGAGGAGGAGCCAGACTTAGACTGGGGTGCCAAGGAGGGCTCCCCTGAAGAGCTGGCTTTGGAGTGGAGGTTGGAAGGATGGGTAAGAGTTAGCTGGGAGAAGAGGAAGGGAATTGAGTTCCAAGAGGAGGAAATTTCTGTGCCCTCTCCCACCATGCACACACACTCCTGCTGTGTTTCTAATCGACTCCAAACTTGGGCCCTCCAGATTGGGGTGAAAAGGTGAGCAGCCAATTCTAAGGCTGGTAGAAGTCCTGACTCTGAGTGGTAGGTCCTACTTTTAGTCTAACCATCCTCCCTCCTGCTACAGTGACCACTTCGTCCAGCCCTAGGGGTTATGAGGGGGAAGTGAGAGAGGGACCTTACCTGGCCTCCCCACCCCCTCCCAGCCTCCGTCGAGGGCGGCCTCCAGCTCTCCATGCTGGGTCTGCTCCGTCACATCCTGTCCCAGGAGGGCGTGCGGGGCCTCTACCGGGGCATTGCCCCCAACTTCATGAAGGTTATCCCGGCTGTGAGCATCTCCTATGTGGTCTACGAGAACATGAAGCAGGCCCTGGGGGTCACATCCAGGTGAGGGACCCAGAGCCCGCCCCCCACAAGATTCCTCACGTCAATCATGATGTCCCCTACACCTCAGCTGCTGGAGACTGATGGCCCAGGCAGTGGATCCCAGGCCCCCCCACACTCAAACCACAGGATCTCCATACTTCAGCCATGGGGTCCTGCGTGTCCACATCCCAGCTACTGGATCCCACATCCCACGTTTCCCTGTTTCCCCCCACACTGGGTCCTGGACCCCCACATCTTAACCACTGGATCCCCCATAACCCAGCTAATGGATCCTGATACCCCAACCCCCAGGAGCACAAATCCCCACATCTAATCACTCAGACCCCAGCTGTCTCAGGCACCAGATCCAGTGTCCCCATGCAGCACTGGATCCCAGATCCCCAACGCCACTGGTGGATCCCAGATCCCTATGCTACAAGCCCTGGATCTCCAAGCTCTTCCACTGGATTATGGATATCAAGAAACCTCAGCCACTGGATCCTGACAATGCAATGCCTGGATCTCAGATCCCCTCACCCCAACCACTGGATTCCTGAATTCCTTTACCTCAACACTGGGTCCCGGGCCCTCTGCTTTGACTGCCGGATCCCTACACTGAAACCACTACACCCTCAACCCCCAACCACCAGATCCCAGTTTCCCCAACCCGCCAGATTCTAAAACCACTGGCGGAGCGAGTGGGTCCTGGCACCACAGCTGCTGGATCCCAGATCCCTTCATCGCAGGCACTGGATACCGAAACCTCACCCATAGGAGGCAGATCCAGGCACTGGATCCCAACCTCTTAACCCCTGGTTTCTGACCCGAATCCCCCAGGCACTGGATCCCAAGAGCTCAGACCCCAAGTCTAGATCCCAAAAGGCCAATCACAGCATCCTGGATCCCACATGCCCCCTCCCAGATACACTAGAGCCAGAGACCTCCCCCCATGACACAAGCCCCATCGTCTAGGGAGCATGCAGGGAGCCCACTACCTGGCCTCCCGGCTCCAGAAAACCCATAGGACTTGGCCAATGTCCTGACCCAGCTAGATGCCCCTTCCATGCCCTGCACAGATGCTGGATCCCCACGCCCCCGCCCCACCTCCCCAGCATGGCCACACCCCTGGGCCGTATGGAGAAACTGCTCCCTCAATTGCCCCCCTCCCCCGACGCTCTGCAGCATCTCCCACCCCCTTCCCACCTTATTGGCTGATAATGCCCCCAGAGCCTGGAGCCCTGTGGAGGACCCAGTCACTTTCTTGGTGGCTGGCAAAGAGGCAAAGTGATGCCAGGGACACGGAAAGGGGACCCTCCCCAGGCTTCAGTGTCAGAAGCCAGGAGCAAGTCTACACAGACCACCCTTCCCTAAACCCAGACATCCAATTATGCAAAAACAAGCCACATCCCCCAAACTCACTCCAGGTCTATTTTTCTACCAGAGAAGAGCAGACAACCCCCTCCCCCACAACTAACCCAAGCCCCCAGCCCCACCCCCATACATTCTGCACTTTATAGATGCATTCTGAGCTTAGGATAATTGGGGGACCCCTCACTCCACTCCTCCCAAGTCCTTGGGGAACCCCATTAAATGAGTGAAAGAGGAACTGGGATGTATCGGGGGCCGGAGGACCCCCCGCCAAGGCTTCCACCTCCCCCCACCGACATCATGCCCCACTTCCTGCCTGTGTGTGTCATTTCAAAGGCAAAGAACAAAAGGAATACATTTTCTAAGCTCTTTTACTGTGGTTTTTACTGAAAGGGGTGGGTGGATGTGGGACCACCGCAAATACCCACAGGGAAGGGACATGAGTCGTCATCCGTCACAGTTCCAGAAGACCAGGAAATGACTCCCTCTTTGAGCCTCAGTTTCCCCATCTGTAAGGTAGGGGAAGGAAAAAGTCCACATTCATGAGCCCTTCTAATTTTTCCTGTATTTTTTTCTAATTACACAAGTGTATTAGTTTCCTAGGGCTGCTGTAATAAACCACCACAAACTGGGGCCTTAAATTTTTTTTAGATTGATATATTTTTTTATTGTGGTAAGATATACATAACACTTACCGTTTTAACTGCTTTAAGTGTATAGTTCAGTGGCATTAAGCACATTCACAGTGTTGTGCAACCATCCCCACCATCCATCTCCAGAACTTTCTCATCTCTCCAAGCTGAAACTCTGTCCCCATGAAACACTGACTCTCCATCCCCTCCCCCAGCCCCTGGCCCCACCATCTACTTTCTGTCTCTGTGGATGTGACTCCTCTAGGGGCCTCCTGTGAGGGGATCACACAGTGTCTATCCTTCTGTGTCTGGCTCATGTCACTGAGCATCATGTCCTCAAGGTCCATCCACCTTGGAGCAGGTGTCAGGATTTCCTTTCTTTTCAAGGCTGAGTAATATTCCATTATCTGGATGGACCACGTTGTGTTTATCCATCCATCTGTCAATGGACTCTTAGGTTGTTTCCATATTTTGGCTATCATGAATAAAAAACAACAGAAATGTATTCTCTCATAGTTCTGGAGGGCAGAAGTCCAAAATTTTAATGCTCCCTTTGAAGGCTTGAGGGGAGGATCCCTCCTTGCCTCTTCCAGCTTCTGGTGGCTGCCAGCAATGCTTGGTGTTCCTTGGCTTGTAGACCCATCACTCCAATTTCTGCCGGTCTTCACATGACCAAACTTTTTCCTCTGTGGACCATGATAGTCACCCTCCAAGATGCCCTCAGTGACCTCTGCCTCTTAGTATCACATTCTTGTGTAGTCCCCTCACTCTTTGTACCAAGGTGGGTCTGTATGACCAAGGTGGTCTTAACTACAGGGATACATTCTGAGAAATGCGTTGTTAGGCGATTTCGTTGGTGTGCGACCACCATAGAGTGTTACACAAACCTAGATGGTATAGCCTCCTACACATCTAGGCTATGTGGTACTAAACTTACAGGACCACCATCGTATACACGGTCCATTGTTGACCAAAACATCGTTATGCAGTGCATGACTGTACAGCAGAAGTGATGGTATATGACTTCCAAGATTAGGTTATCAAAGACTTTTAAGCTATGGTTTGTGAGGGGCTAATTTGTCACACAGCAATAGCTAACTGATACATATACGCATACATAGATATGAATTTTTCACGCACTCAAATAAGGATCAAACCTTGCTATTTTGCATTTTTGCTTCCTTTGAATTATGTCCTTAGGATCAATTCCCAGAAGGGTGATTGCTGCGTCAAAGGATATGACTATCTCAGAGTTACACCACCAGAAAAATTATACACAATATACACAGCTACCAACAAGGAATTAGCATTGCCAATTTTACTGCAGCCATACCAGCACTGAGTGTTACCACTTACTTTTATTTAATTGGGCCAGTTAATGTCCATTTTCTTGTCCACGTTCTTTTTTTCTTTTTCTTTTCTTTTCTTTTTTTTTTTTCGTGAGGAAGATTGGCCCCGAGCTAACATCTGTACCAATCTTCCTCCACTTTGTATATGGGACACCGCCACAGCATGGCTTGGTGAGCGGTGTGTAGGTCCATGCCCGGGATCCAAACCCACAAACCCCGGGCTGCCAAAGCAGAGTGCACGAACTGAACCATCACACCACTGGGCAGGCCCCTTGTCCGCATTCCTCTATCCCATTACATTATGGCTGGGATTTAGGAGGCTCTGCTTCCTGACATGCAGTGGGACATCAGACTGGCTGCTTTTCTCTTTCTAAGCCTCAGATTCCCCACCTGCAAAATAAGGGGTGTTTCCACTGACATCTTTAAAGGGAAAAGAACTTATATTTATTGAGCAAGTACTATGTACCCTCTGTGCTAATCCCTCGAGTGAATTATCTCATTCACTTACTTATACATTTATTGAACACTTACTTTGTGCCAGACCCAGTTCTGGGCATGGGATACAGACGTGCATGATACAGACAAAAATCTCCATTCTCACAGACCCTGCATCCCAGTGGAGAGAGACGAACAATAAGTAACACAAGTGAGTGACTGTGTAGCAGCATAGAAAGCTAAGGTACTATGGAGAAAAATTAAGGATGGAAGGAGATGAGAAATACTGCAAGGTGGTCAGAGAAGGCCTCATGGAGATGACATTTGAATACAGATTTAAAGATGGTGAGCGAGGGAGCCATGGGAAGGTCTAGGGAAACAACATCCCAGGCAGAGGGCACAGCCTGTGCAAAGGCCCTGGGGCAGGACCGGGCCTGGTGTGTTGGAGGAACAGCAAGGAGGCCCGTGTGGCTGGAGCAGAGGAAGCGAGGGGGAGAGAGGGAGGAGGGAGGGCAGGGAGGGGCCAGGGCCTGGTTGGCAGCGGGGAGGACTTGGGCTTCTCCCCGGAGGGAGGGGGAGCCCTGGAGGGCTGTGGGCAGAGGAGGGGGGACCTGACTCAGGTGCTCACCGGCGCCCTCTGATGGCTTCTGCGGGGAGGACAGACTGGGGCGGGTGAGGGCAGGAGTAGGGGGACCAGGGCGGAGGGGACTGCAGTGGTCCAGGTGAGCGATGATGGGGCTGGACCAGCGCGGTAGCCATGGATATGGTAAGATGCAACCAGTTTCTAGATATATTTTGAAGGTTAAGCTCACAGGATGTGATGTCAGATTGTGGGCATGAAAAGGAAAAATCAAGGATGACTTCAAGCTTTTTGACCCAAACAACTTGGAGGACGGAAGTGCCCTCAGTGAAGACTCTCATTGGATCCTATTGACAACACTACGTGATGGAGTTTACCGTTACTTCCAATCTCCAGATGGGGAAACTGAAGCTCAGAGAAGTAAAGCCGGTACCCCAAGGTCACACGGCAAGAAGTGTTTGACATGGGATTCGAACCCAGGTCCTTCTGACTCCAAACCTATGTCTGTCTTACTTTGGGGACCAACTGTGTCTCTCTCTCCCAGAGCTCCAGAGCCTTCCCATTCTCCCTCATTTCCATCTTCTGTTGCCATGACAACGAAACGCAGTGTATCAGTTTCCTATGACTGCTGTAACAAATGACCACAAACTTGGTGGCTTAAAACAATATAAATGTATTATTCTGGAAGTCAGAAGCCTGACATGGATCTCACTGGGCTAAAATCAAGCTGTCAGCAGGGCTGCGTTCCTTCTGGAGGCTCCGGGAGAGAAGCAGCTTCTCGGCCTTTTCCAGCTTCTAAAGGCCATCTGCATTCCATGGCTCGTGGCCCCTTCCTCCATCTTCAAAGCCAGCAATGGCCGGTCGAGTCTTGCTCACATTATATCACTCTAGTGCCCACTCTTCTGCCTCCCTCTTCCCTGTTTAAGGACTCATAAGATTACATTGGGCCCACTTGGTTAATCCAGAATAATCTCTCCATCTCCCCTTCAGCAGGTTAGCAACCTTAACTCCATCTGCAAAGTTAATCCTCTCCTTGCCGTGTAACATAACACGTTCAGAGGTTCAGAGGGATTAAGAAGTGGACCTTTTTGGGGAGAGACCTTCACTCTGCCCACCGTATCCAGTGAGGTCACAAGGGCCTCTGTGACCTCATCAATCCCCTGGGACCCAAAGTTACAAGGTGCCCCTCCCACATGGTTGCCAGATGGGCAAACCTCTCACCAGGGGTTTGAACCTAAGTGTCCTGACCTTCTGGCTGCCATGGGGGCCCAACCTGAGGAGGTTCAGAAGCCTTGCTCGAGGGTCCAGACCCTGTTGAAGAGGGTCAATGCCTTATTCATCAAAGCCCCGCACTCACCCTTCCTCCCACCCCCACCCCCACCCCTCCTCCGGAACCCAGGCTGTACACACGTGTATGGGTACGTGTTTGGGCACGTGGGTGAAAATGATATGGAGCACCTCCCATCGCAGCAGGTGAGTTTGGGAACCACGGGTCTCCCAGGACCTCCAGCCCATCTCCTCTGCATGGCCCGCTCCCCTCCATGAATGCCTAGAATTCCACCTTAATGCAGTGGGGACCAGAGTGGGCCTTTCGCCAGGAGGGGGTTCTGGAGATGTGTCTGGGGAAGGAGCTCCAGCCTGGCTGAGTACGGGCGGGAGCTGGGTCTGCCCTGCAGGTACTGGACACGGGAGAGCAGCTGATGGTCCCCGTGGAGGTCCTGGAGGTGGGTAATGAGGGGGCCTTGTGGAAGTTTCTGCTCTCGGGAGCCATGGCCGGGGCGGTGTCTCGTACCGGCACGGCCCCTCTGGACCGCGCCAAGGTGTACATGCAGGTGAGTTGGGGGCACAGTGCTGGAGCCATTGGGGTGGGGATGGATGGAGGTGGAGCTGATGGAGTTCAGGATGGGGGTGGGGGTGCAGCTGGAAACAGGCTTGAGGGTGGGGTTGGGACAGGGGTTGGAGATAGAAGAGGCTGAATGGAGGTGGGGTGGGAATTGGAGTTCGGGATAACCATGGAGCCCATGTGGATGGGGCATGGAGTTGAGTTGGGGAAGGAGTTGAGAGAATGGTACCAGGGACAGGCATAGGGTTAGGGATCAGGAGATTGGGGATGGGATCTTTGGATGGCATTGAAGACAAAATAGGACTGGAGAGGAGAGGAAGATGAGAGATGATGGGAATGTGGGTGGGTGTTGGGTTGGGGTCTACGTTGGGTTACAGAATTCTAGCCAGGGAAGGAGTTGGAGAAAGAATGGGGCTAGGAGGGGGATAGGGTTTGTTGGGTGGCTGGAGACAGGATAGGGCTGAGCACCAGGCTGGGATGGGTATGGAGATGGGGAGGAGGGCTCTTCACAGGGCTAGGGGCCTCCCTACCCCCAGGTCTACTCCTCCAAGACGAACTTCATGAACATGCTGGGGGGGCTACGGAGCATGGTCCAGGAGGGGGGTTTCCGCTCCCTATGGCGGGGCAATGGCATCAATGTACTCAAGATTGCCCCCGAGTATGCCATCAAATTCTCCGTCTTTGAACAGGTGCGGGGATGGGCTGCTTTCCCCAGCCCTGCCCTCAATCCCAACCTCTCCTATACCCCCGCCCCAAAAGCCCAGATCCTTATCCAAGACACACTTTCACCCTCCAGGTCCCAGACCTCTCCCCCGGATGGGTTTCAGGTAGGAAGATGGGTAGCTCTTCTCTCACGCCCCTCTCTCCTGTCCCAGTGTAAGAATTACTTCTGCGGAGTGCATGAGTCCCCACCCTTTCAGGAACGTCTCCTTGCTGGCTCCCTGGCAGTGGCCACCTCCCAGACACTGATCAACCCCATGGAGGTAAGAAAATATCGGCCCCCTAGAAGATGAAACAAGAGGAAAGTTTGCCAGATGTTACTGATTCCTCCTCCTCTTCTCCTTCTTCATATGAGATATGTATCAAACTTTTATTCCAGATAGCTACCCAGTCACCTCAACACTATTTACCAATTACTGAATGATCTGAGATGCCACTTTTGTAATTTACTAAGTTCCTTTATCTGTTTGTTGTTGTTGTTGTTGTTGTTGTTGTTTTGGTTTGGTTTTGTTTGTTTGTTTTTGCTGAGGAAGATCGCCCCGAGCTAACATCAGTGCCATCCTCTATTTGGTATATGGGTCGCCGCCACAGCATGGCTGATGAGCGGTGTAGGTCAGCGCCCGGGATCCGAATCCACAAACCCGGGCTGCCGAAGCAGAGCGCACTGATCTTAACCACTAGGCCACGGGGCCTGGCCCTATTTGGGTTTATTTTTGGCTTTTTCTTCTTGTTGTTCTGGTGTCTGTTCATGCACTACTATCTTCTAATTTTTTTAATGAATAGACTTTATTTTGTACAGCAGTTCTAGGTTTACAGAAAAATTGAGCAGAAAGTACAGGGAGTTCCCATATACCTCTCCCAATATATACAAAGTTTCCACTGTTACTAACATCTTGCATCACAGTGGTATACTTGTTACAATTGATGAGCCAATATTGATACATTGTTATTAACTAAAGACCATAGTTTACATCAGGGTTCAATCTTGTGCTGTATCTTTCTATGAGTTTTGACAATGTATAATGACATGTAGCCACTATTACAGTATCACACAGAGTAGTCTCACTGCCCTAAAAATCCTCTGTGCCACCCCATTCCTCCCTCCCTCCTTCCCCCAATCCCTGGCAACCACTCATTATTTTACTGTCTATATAGTTTTGCCTCCTGTCTTTAATTTTTGAGGCTTGATATTAAGTTTGATCATTCCCCATCCCTGCTCTTTTTTTATCAGTTTTCCAGACTATTCTCCTCTGTTGATTTTTCCATTTAAACTTGAGAAGCAACTTGTCTAGTTCAGAAAACAAAACCACCTACTGGCATTTTTTACTGGGATGGTGTTCAATTTATAAATAAGTTTAGAGATTATTGCCATCTATATGAGGTTGGGTCTACATATCCAAAAACACTTTCATTTGCTCAATTGTCTTTTAAAGTTTTCTTCATATAATTCTTAGCTGGTTAAGTTTCTTCCAAAATGCATTCATTTTCGATTGCTGCATAACAAATTACCAGACTCAGGAGCTTAAAATGATACAGATTTATAATCTCATTGTTTCTGTGGGTCACGTCTGGGCACTAGCTAGTCAGGTCCTCTGCTCAGGGTTTCATCAGGAGGAAATCAAGGTGTCAGCTGGGCTACCAACAAACCCGTCTAAGACTTGGGTCCTCTGCCAAGCTCCCTGGTTGTTGGCAGGATTCAGCTTCTCGTGGCTGTAGGACTGAGGTCCTCAACTCCTAGAAGCCACCCACTGCTCCCTGCCATGTGGTCCTCTCCACAACAGTTTGCTTGTTTAAGACCAACCAGAGGGTGTCTCTGAGGCTCCCAATCTCTCTGACTTCTGTCTCTGGCAACAGACTCTCTTTTAAAGGGTGCACCTGATTAGGTCTGGCCTACCCGGGACAATTTTTCTTGATTCACTTAAAGTCATGCTTAGGGGCCTTCATTACATCTGCAAAACCCCTTCAGCTTTGCCACATCATGTAACCTGATCAGCAGAGTGACATCCCTGCGTATTCACAGGTCCAGCCTTCACTCACAGTGTGGGGGAGCATTGACAGAGCATGCGTACCAGGGGGGCGGGAATCTTGGGGATCACCTTAGAATTTGACCTGCCACACTTGGTGTTCTGTCTTCTGCACAACTGTAGAGTTGCCAAAATTTTGACATTGGGGCATTTCATAAAAATTCCGATTTCTGGCTTCTTTTGGAAAATGGGCAGATCTGGCCACCTGGGGCTCATACTCCCATGGTGCTACCTATGGCTGGTGCTAAGTGGCAGCTGCCACAGACCCCACTCGGCTCACATCACTTCCCTTACTCTCTTGGCCTCTGTCACACTTGAGCTTCTGAACCCTGGGCTGAGAGCACACACAGGCCAAGGGATCTGACGCCCTGGGTTTGAAACGCAGCTGTGCACATTCCTGAGCAGTTTCCTCGTTTGTAAATGGGGACAATGGCCACAAATGAGCCGCCTTACTCCTCACCCTCCCCAGGTGCTGAAGACACGGCTGACCCTGCGCCGGACAGGCCAGTACAAGGGGCTTCTGGACTGCGCCAGGCAGATCCTGGAGCGGGAGGGCACCCGTGCCCTTTACCGCGGCTACCTGCCCAACATGCTTGGCATCATCCCATATGCCTGCACTGACCTGGCCATCTATGAGGTGGGGGACCCGCAGAGGGGGTGGCGGGGGTGGCGTGAACCCAGACACATAGTGACCTTCCTCCTGGCCCCTTTCTCCTGCAGATGCTCAGGTGCTTCTGGCTGAAGTCAGGCAGGGACATGGAGGACCCTAGTGGCCTGGTGAGTCTGTCATCTGTGACGCTGTCCACCACCTGTGGCCAGATGGCCAGTTACCCGCTGACTTTGGTGCGCACCAGGATGCAGGCCCAAGGTGAGCCTGGCCCGAGTGGCCACTGCACATGCCCCTCCCCCGTTGCCCCAGCTCTCTGAACTCTCATCCCCCAAACTGCCTCCCGAACTCTCCACATCCGATCCTGGCCAGCTTTGCTCACCCCCAAACCCACCAAGACTTATGCTTACCCCCAAATCTGATCCCAGCCCTCAATTAACCCTACAAATCACTAAAATGAACACCCAGCTCTCGACTGGCCCCCACAAACTTCCCCCAAATATGACCCAGGCCCCCAAACTGACCTCAAGACATATCTTCCCCAAATGACCTCCCAAATTTTCCAAATCAGATCCACCCGTCAACGGGATCTGACAGTTAAAATGGCTCCTAAATCTGCCAAATTTGACCCTTAGATGTCCCCAAACTCATAACCACTTCCCCCAATACCCTGGGAACTCCCCAAATGTGATTCCCCCAAATGGACTCTGAGCCTCTAAACCAATCCACAAACATCCAAATAGGTGCTTAGCCCACTACCCTGATCTTGAAAATGTCCCCAAATGACCCCTTGGCACACTCCCCAAATCTCTAGCAGATCTTAGAAGTTGTCTCTCGAATAAACCCGAATGTTCTCTAAGATGTTCCTGAGAATGAATCCTAAAATTCCTGCCCCTTACTCTCCCAAAACTGACCAATTTCCTCTAAAACTCTTCCAAATTCCTTTCCAACTGACCCCCTATGACCCCTGCCCCTGGCTTTGCCCCCATCCCCCAACATTCCAGCCCCCCTAGGAGGCAGGGTCATCTCTGGTCGAGGCCCTGAGTTTGCCCCTATCCCCGCAGACACCATGGAGGGCTCGAACCCCACCATGCGCGGAGTCTTCCGGCGGATCCTGGCCCAGCAGGGCTGGCTGGGGCTGTACCGAGGCATGACTCCCACATTACTGAAGGTGTTGCCAGCAGGCGGCATCAGCTACGTGGTGTATGAAGCCATGAAGAAGACCCTGGGGGTATAGGCAGTGAACTAGGTGACACACCCTGGGGAGAAATAGACAGGAGGCTCCAGTGTCCCCTGGCCCCATGAGCCCTCCAGGCTCAGGCCCTAGGGCAGTTTGTGTCAAGAGAAGTAGGCTGGGGGCCTGGGTCAGAAGATTCGTGGGGCCCCCTCCCCAGGGTGCAGCCAGGACTAGTCTGGACTCCAGTGTGGCTCCTGTGGCCTGTCCTGGCTCCAGAGCGAAATGGTGAATGTGGAGACCACCACGAATAAAGAGATGGTTTCTGCTGTACGTGTCTGGGATACCTGGGTCGAGAAGGGAAGATGGGGACCTGGATACCCGGGGCCAAGAGAGGAGCTAGGCGTCTGGAATCTCTGGCCACAAGAGGGGAGCTGGGATTCCTGGGTCTTGGAGGGGGGCTGGGTATCTTGGGCCCCTCGGTCCTGAATGGGAAATGGAAGGCTGGATGAGGCCTGGGTCTAGGAGAGAAGTTGAGGGCCTGGGATTGGAGCTTGGAGCTTGGCTCCCAGGACCTTATGTGAAGCGGGTGTGTGGTGTGGAATTAGGGTGTGGGATCCCTCGGTCCTGGGAGGGAACCCATGGCCCCAGACCCTTGAGTTCGGGACGGAGCTGGGTCCATGAGTCCTGGAAGGGAAGTGGGGGCTCTAGATCCCTGAGTGGAAAGAAGAGAGGGGGTACAGGGGATCCCTGGGCTTCCTCCTCCTCTCCGGCCACCCCACCCCCGGAAGCATCCGATCTCCAAGGCCTCAAGCAGGCCACGTGCCCGGCCTACCCAGCCAGGCTCCTGGGGGGCTAACCCAGACATGAGGCCTGAATCCCGGCAGCCGGTCGCCACTGCCCACGTCGGCTGCCATTCAATCCCGCTCCGGCTAATCCCCTCTCACCGTCTGGTGGCCGGCTCCGCCCCAATGCAGCTGCGCTCCCACTGGCTCCCACCAAAACTGGGCCCCTTTACTCCCGTCATTGCCATTTGACCAGAGAGGTGTCAGTCACCTTACACCCGCCCCCGCCGCTCGGCCATTGGCTTAGAAGTCAAGGCTAGAAAAGGATTCTGGTTAATAGGGGAAGCAATCCAGTCCAAACCCAAGCGCATCACCCAGAACTCCTCAGGGACTGGATTAAATTGACTGCCAATCTTTACAAGAACCGCCTTCCGCGTGTCCTCATTGGCTTGTGTCCACGACTACCTCACCAGGCGCCCGCCCAGCCCGTTCAAAAGGGCCTTTCGCCAGGCCCCCTCCTTCCTGTCCGCTTGACTCTTCGGAGCCCGTCAATCCGGTTCTGAAGCCGCCCCGCGATTCTGGAACTCTCGCTTCATTGGGCCTCCCGGCTTCTCGGATCGCCTCGATTTGCTCGCCCAGCGCCGGCGGGCCGCAGCCTATTGCCTCCGAGAGCTGTCGGTCACGCGGCACCTCCCGCCCACGGCGTCTCGAGGCGCTCCGATTGGCCGCCCGCCTCCGGAGCCCGCGATTGGTGTCCGGGGAGGGGCGGACGCCTCCCATTGGCCCGGCGGTGCCGTCCGTCACGCCGGCGGCGGGAGGGGGCGTCCCTCTCCCCCCTCGCCGTCTTCCCAGCCGCTGGGTTCCCAGAGTGCTCCGCGGCCGTGTGGAGCGAGGCCTTGTTCCCGCGTTGAGCCGCCGCCGCCGCCGCCTCCTCCTCAGCTTCAGCCTCCGCGCCAGGCCCGGCCCCGCCGCGCCATGTCGG